AGATATTAGCTTGCAGGTTGTTGTGCTCTGTTGAAGAATATTTGGTTACAGTAGTACACCAGTAGCTGAAGGGGAAGATAAAACCATTGTTTCCAACATGACAACCTGACAATGTTATCACCGCTGAAACTCTTACACAAATATCGCCCAAAGAGGCTGCTGTTATAGCAATAACCTGATTTTTAACAAAACGTGTTGAAAAAATTTATCGAATCAGAATCAGCTTCATTATCATTGCACCGAGATACAACGAGAACATGTACGTACATTCATCCGAAAGATGGATGGAGTGCACGAAGCTGCTGCTATAAAGTGTGGCCTTCTTATTCTTATCCAGAATAATATTTTTAGATAGAAAAAGGGACAAAGCCATGAAGAGAGGGTAGTGGCATTACAAAAAAGATCTCTTCAAACCTTGTCCTTGACCTTATGTACGTGAATGTTTCTGTAAAGTACCCAAGTACCCTGAGACAACTTTGTTGTGATTTGGCACTACATAAATAAACTGAATTGAATTGAATTGAATTGTCCTTATAGGGCAAGATTTAAGACATCAAAACACTCTGCCAGCCAAAAGCATATTTATGAACACGTACATATGCATTTACAAACGAGGCAGTCCATGAAGCCTTAGAAAGTCCATTATCCTGACAAGAAGGCGGTCAGCCGGCACAGGTCAAATAAGACTCCACCGGGGGGGGGGGGGGGGGAGAGATAAACTTTTTCCTTAGTTTACACATTTCCCAGGAGAAATTGATAGGTCGTCCTGTTTCGAGGCCAACTGGGGAGAGATTCAGATAACCACAATTGTTGATTTATTCAGGCAGTCTGTTTCCTGTCAGCCTTGAGTCTGTACTGATACTTTCCAAGGTCCAAATGTCCAGATTAGGGTGCATTCCACTGGTCCGTGCTTACGAGCCTTTTCAAGATGTTTTCATGCTGATGGGTCCTAAAGCCACAGGTGACCTGCCATTCAAATCACTTCCAACTTACGGGTTTGCTCGCAAATCAGCTGATTTTGAGACCTCCAGCATGAACCAGACCTTCACATAGACAGCAGCTAATCAAGGTCCAAATTAGCTGCTGCCATCTTTTTTGTTTGTTGATAAGGCAGGATCCAGACTATTCCAGACACAGGAAACCTATTATCATAAATTCCATTATTGGCAATTTCAGCATCCTTGGTTGATAGCAGAGGTAGACACATCCCCCCAGAAATATATCCAGCTGCACGCCTCGTCCAAACAGATGAGGGTTCTCCAGGACCCTGTTGCTTTGTTGAAAGAATTTGTAATATACGTCAAAAGTCCCGTTGGTCAGATCCAAAACAGTAGTTTCCATTTCGGGAGATGTGTAAAACAAATTGGAGCTGCTTCGATACACAGACAGAGAGCAAAAAAAAAATTAAGCAGGAGGGAAACAGAGAGCGGGAAGGAATGTGTGCGCCTCCTTTGAGAGCTTGAGAGAAAAAAGTATCTTATATAAGATATAAGAAGACATGTGATATCCTATCACATATGTCTTCTAGTTGAATTTAGTATTTTTATGAGCGTTGGAAAAACACAAAATAACACAATTCTCTTGCAAGTAAATATTTACTGTAAGTCACCCCAGTAAATCTTATCCTCTGGTATTTCATCTAGGTACTTGATATACCAATGTACCACTTTAAAAACCATTCATTATTGTCTGGGAACTATGAACGTAGCTTTGTACTGATTTGCACGTGTGTTTTGTTGTCTCTCCTTCAGTTGTCTGTCATGTGGAGATGGGGTCAAAGTTCAACACCAGTGTTGTGACTAAACTGAGCAGTGATCAGGGAGGGTCATCTGAGGAAAGAGGAAACATGGGAAGAAACAATGGAGGAAAACATGAAGAAAACAATGGAGGAAAGAGTGAAGGAAACAAAGGAGGAAACAACGGAGGAAACAATGGAGGAAACAAAGGAGGAAACAACGGAGGAAAGAGTGAAGGAAACAAAGGAGGAAACAACGGAGGAAAGAGTGAAGGAAACAAAGGAGGAAACGGTGGAGGTCATCACCGAAGACGCCGAAGCCCCTTTGGGGGTAAGAGTAGCAAGGAGGCTGATGGAGATATGACCCTTTACGGCCTCTTCCAGCTCTGCGGTGACCTGGTGTGCAACAGCACCGTGAACTCAACCAACTTGTGCAACATTGAATGCAATAGTGAGTTTTCTGTACTTTTATTGTTTTAAATCAAATTATTATTTTTTTAATTGGCCAACTTCATTGTTTTAAGTGAAAATTGTCTGACATTTTAATTGTTACCTCTTTGACCTAAAGTTATTCTCAAATGAATGTGTTCAGTATTTGCTGCAGCTAGAAGCCTACAGTCTTTAACAGATACGTATTTTCCTCATTTAGAAAACTAAGATTGTTCTTTCTCTTCAGATTTGATTGATGACAATATTGATGATGATATCAGTTGCGTGCTGATGCTCCTCACAGAAATTGTGTAAGTTTTCATTTCATTTTTATTTGTATGTTTAGAAGTTTGTGGAAAGTACATGTTGGTTTCTGGTGAGAACTATTAGTTTAGTTTTTTCTGTAGGACTTTAAGGTACATCCATCCATCCATTATCTTTACCCGCTTCTTCCATTTTGGGTCACGGGGGCCGCCAGTGCCCATGTCCAGCAATCACTGTGCGAGGGGCGGGGTACACCCTGGACAGGTTTCCAGTCCATCACAGGGACACATAGAGACAAACAACCATTCACTCTCTCACCTAGGGACAATTCAGAGTTACCATCAGTCTAACACACATGTTTTTAGTCTGTGAGAGGAAACTGGAGTACCTGGAGAGAACCCACACATGCACGGAGAGAACATGCAAACTCCACCCAGAAAGCCCCCTGGACTGGGATTTGAACCAAAGACCTGCTCGCTGAGAGGCAGCAGCTCTACCAGTTGTGCCACTGTGCTGCCCCAAAGCCCATCTGTCCACCAGTTTATATAAAGTTGAAGTAACTTGTTTTGCACAACTTTGTTGAACTGAACAAACGTTCCAAAACACAGCACACAATACAATAATCATATTTACAGTTGAAAACTGTACAGCACTGTATAAGCAAATAGAACAGACAAGAAAAAACAGTTAAGATATTATGATTATTCATGTTTGTATTTGTGGAGTCCTAAAGCAATGTCATATGTAAACCTTTATTTCCTCGTATGTTTTAAACAGTGACAAGGGCTTCAAGGCACCAAACTTGATGGAGCTCAGAAAAGTGTAAGTTATTTTTCTTTAAACACACATATTAAATTTGTTTATATAAAGTTATGTTAACTCTCTGTTTTTCTGCAGGATCAGACTCATCATGCAAGACGACTGTAACCACGTTAAAGCTTCCACTTACTTTGCTGAGTGTCAATAAAATCACTTATATTATGCAACAAATGTAACTCCATTGATCGGTCTTATGCACAAGACTGCCTATATATTTAAATAAATAAACATATGAAGCATGTCAAACATGTCATTGGTGTGTTTGTGAGCTCGAAAACAATGTGTGCAGTCACTTTTACACAGTGATAATGATAATGCAATGAGCCAATTTGTTTAACGTGAATGAAGAGTCTTGTATGAAACTGAGAAATTTTACAAGAAGTAAGATTAAAGGTTCAGGCAGCAAAATACCTGCAGTTCACTGCCATTGTCAACTGTGCTGTGAATCAGAATCAGAATGCCTTTATTGTCATTATACGCAAGTACAATGAGATTAAGAGCCACTCCTTTTTTCAGTGCAAAAACATGCTTAAGAAAAACACACACTAAAAATATAAAAAATGTAATGCAATATAGCTATAATAGCACTATGAAAGTAAAAAATACAAGTATTTCCAGGTATATTGCACTTTATGGATATTAGTTAGTTAAGGTGACTGAGAGTATGAAATGTCAGTAGTATTGCACAATAGAAGTCCAGGGGTTTGGGAGGTTAGATTAATAAATCTGTGAAGACCTCCACAATCTCACCAGCACGTCTTCCAATGAGGAAGCGGCGCCTGGGGACTTTGGATAGGGCTCTCCAATCTCTGGTCCTGAGGTCACAGAGGTAGTTAAAAATCTCCTCGGTGGCAGGGCCCCAGGGATGGATGAGATTCACCCTGAGTTCCTTAAGGCTCTGGATGTTGTAGGGTTGTGTTGGCTTACGCGACTCTGCAATATTGCGTGGACATCGGGGGAAGTTCCCCTGGATTGGCAGACCGGGGTGGTGGTCCCCCTATTCAAAAAGGGGGACCGTAGAGTGTGTTCCAACTTCAGGGGGATCACGCTCTTAAGCCTCCCTGGTAAGGTCTATTCGGGGGTTCTGGAGAGGAGGGTCCGTCCGGCCGAAATGAGTTTTCTGCACAGGGTGTCTGGGCTCTCCCTTAGAGATCGGGAGAGAAGCTCGGTCATCCGGGAGGGACTCAGAGTAGAGCCGCTGCTTCTCCACTTCGAGAGGAGCCAGTTGAGGTGGCCCGGGCATCTGTTTAGGATGCCACCTGGACACCTCCCTGGTGAGGTGTTCCGGACACATCCCATCGAGAGGAGGCCCAGAGGAAGACCCAAGACACGCTGGAGGGACTATGTTGCTCGGCTGGCCTGGGAATGCCTCGGGATTCCCTGGAGGAGCTGGACCAAGTGGCTGGGGAGAGGGAAGTCTGGGCCTCCCTACTTAGGCTGCTACCCCTAAGACCCGACCCCGGATAAGCGGAAAAAAATGGATGGATGGATGGATGGATGGATGGATGATTAAATCAGTGCATGTGTGAGTTCAATGTGGTGATGGCTTTGGGAAAAAACTGTTCTTGAATCTGTTTGACTTGTTACCTTCAGGGAAGCGCTACAGGTGCATGCTCTGTTGAGGCAGCGTGATGTATAAATGTCCATCAGGGAGGGGAGAGTCAAGTCAAGTCACATTTATTTATATAGCACATTTAAAACAATAACTGTTATCAAAGTGCTTACCAAAAAAGATCACAGCATCAAATATTAATAACAACATATTACAGCAATAAAAGCATAAAAACATTAAATATAATGAGAAACAATGAAAGACTAAATCAAATCACCCTGCGTTAAATGTCAGGGAGTAAAAGCAAAATGGATGAACACAATCATCAACAATGAAATACCAAATGAGATCACACTGTGTTAAATGCCAATGAGTACAGACGTGTTTTGAAGAGAGATTTAAAAATATAGACTGAGGTGGCCTGTCGAATGTTGATGGTCAGATTATTCCAGAGTTTAGGGCCCATGACTGAAAATGCCAGACCTCCTCTGAGCTTCAGCTGGTTTTTGGTACGGCCAAAAGCAGCTGGTCTGATGATCTCAAGGCCCTAGAAGGAGTATAAGGATGAAGGAGGTCAGAGAGGTATGAGGGTGCAAGGCCATTAACACACTTAAATGTCAGCAGAAGAATCTTAAAATCAACTCTGACACGCACAGGAAGCCAGTGAAGAGAGGACAGAACTGGAGTAATGTGCTCAAACCTGCAAGTTCCTGTTAGTAGCCGAGCTGCAGCATTTTGGACAAGCTGGAGACACGAGAGAGAGACCTGACTGACCCCAGCATAAAGCGAGTTACAGTAGTCCAGCCGGGTTGTAATAAATGCATGGACTAATTTTTCACGGTCGGATCTGGACAGGACGGACTTGAGCTTTGCTATCTGCCTTAGCTGGAAGAAGCTTTTTTTGAAGAACAGAATTTATCTGCTTATTAAATTTAAAGTCCGAGTCTAAAACTATCCCGAGATTGGTAACAGACTGTTTTAGATATGGCTGAAGGGAGTCCAGGTTTGCAGGATCAGTGACAGTGGCAGAGCTAGGGTTAAACACAATGACCTCAGTATTCTGATCATTAAAACTCAAGAAGTTCGCAGCCATCCAAGTCTTGATGTCATCAAGACATTTGAACAAAGGGCGAATGGAGGAGGAACTGTTAGGTGATAACGGCAGATAAATCTGAGAGTCATCAGCATAACAATGAAAGGAAAAACCATGTTTCCTCAGGATAGACCCTAAGGGTGTTAGGATTTGCTAGGAAGGAGCGAACCCAGAGTGCAGAACAGGGACTCAACTCGGCAGAATACAAAAATAGGAATTTAATGATAAATAAAGATACAAAATAACAAGCTGACGGGGCAGCAAAACTTACACGAAACAGGAAGAAGGCACGGGGAACTCAGGAGGACTCAGGAGACACGGGAGACTCAAGGAACTAGGAAGACTCAGGGGGGAACACAGAAGACCCAACGAGTACGACGCGACAACGAACAAGACTGAACAGACGGCTTAAATACAGGGACAAGACGAGACGTGATTACAAACAGCTGGGATGAGACACGGGTGGCACTAATAGAACTAATGAGGGAGCACGAGGGAACACAAACACAAACCGGGCCACAAAAAGGTACCATCCTTACAGTACGCCCCCCTCAAGGACGCCCCCAGGCGTCCCCAAAAAACCCCCCTCCCGAAGGACTTGGGCGGGTGGAGGGCAGCACTGCAAGGGTGGAGGGCCCGAGGAAAACACGAGGAAGAGACCAAAGACCTGAAAAACTATGAAACACACAAGGAGGGAACACAAGAGATTTGGACGGTCAAGAGACCGTCCCTAGGAATCATTGTTCCGGCGGGCGGCCGGGAGGCTGTCCAACAAACCGGGCCAGGTCAGGGGGACGGCCAGGAGGCCATCCAAAACACAGAACCAGAGGGAACGCAGCATGCGTCGGAGAGACCTGGGGGGCTGCAGCATGCGACGGACAGTCCTGGGGAGCTGCAGCATACATCAAGGAGACCTGGGGAGCTGCAGCATGCGACGGAGAGACCTGGGGAGCTGCAGCATGCATCAAGGAGATCTGGGGAGCTGCAGCGGACGACGGAGAGGCCTGGGGAGCTGCAGCGGACGACGGAGAGGCCTGGGGAGCTGCAGTGGACGATGGAGAGGCCTGGGGAGCTGCAGCGGACGACGGCGAGGCCTGGAGCTCTGCAGCAGATGGCGGAGAGGCCTGGAGCTCTGCAGCAGAAATGGGAACGAAGTCTTCTGCGGCAGGAACGGAAACAGGAACTTCTGCGGCAGGAACTTCTGCGGCAGGTACAGGAACTTCTGCGACAGGAACGGAGTCTTCTGCCGCAGGAAACAGGAAATTCTGCAGCAGGAACAGGAACTTCTGCGGCAGGAACAGGAACTTCTACGGCAGGAACAGGAACTTCTGCGGCAGGAACAGGAACTTCTGCGGCAGGAACGGAGTCTTCTGCGGCAGGAACGGAAACAGGAACTTCTGCGGCAGGAACGGAGTCTTCTGCGGCAGGAACGGAAACAGGAACGGAACCCTCTGCGGCAGGAACGGAGTCATCTGCGGCAGGAACGGAAACAGGAACAGAACCCTCTGCGGCAGGAAC